AACAGTTATAAATTATGGCAAAATAAAAGTTTAATGTTGCATAAAACCAGAACCTTCCTTTACCTGACTGTACAACCATAACCCACACTTCATTTCAAATGGGTTAACCAGTCAAGTACATATTCCAATCATGCAGTCACCTATGCTTGTCAGCCTTTACAGTACAGTAAGTAATGGCATGCAATATAATAAAAAATGTGTATGTGATGCCTGAACGTGGCCTATTGCTCTTCCATTAAAATATATCAATATATTTCACTCAAACTTGCCATGCAGTGTATGACAGGTTGCAGTGATTAAAGTCTCCAAGTCAACCAGCCCTGAAATCTTAAGGATAATCTGTTGGCTGACTGTATTGTCAGATGATTGGTATCTTAATACAAGCCTCTTAGGCTGCACTGCTATCTTGTAAAGTGTGAGGTTACACACTGCAGAGACGTTGACAAACACACTCACAGCGGAGCTCGGAAACAGTCGTATGGCAGTAGTGAGCCTACCCGATAGGCTGTGGGCGACTGTGATCCAGCTTGGCTGTCTTCAGGGGAACAGCATAGATGTCTGGGTGCTTCTGAGAAATTTCCAACTGCAAACACAGATTAGTTGATTAACGTCTGTAATGGCTGGTATTCAAAATGCAGTTAACTATAAGACATTTCAGAAATGATGAAGGAAACTAGAAGGAACTGTGTGGAATACTTTCTGAGGGTCTCAGTCTGTATACTGTCTGTATGTGTTCTGCATTATGTTTAAGAAAGTGAAACAATGTTACATGTGGTGTTGGTATTTGATATGTGCTGTTCATGGGCTGATCTTAACATGTTATTCCGCCAGACGGTAGCATTTTTACATGCACTTTGCCCAATTCCCAGTGAACATTTTCTGCATGAAAGTTTACCCCATCTCATCGTCTTTCATGTCCTCAATAGGAGCATGTGCAACATTACACATAGAAAACATAAGAAGAAAAAAACAAAAACAAAAAAACAAATTTCCTAGATACCTACAGGGTATTGGTGCCACCATGACAAAATATTTAAATAAATATAAATTTAAATTTAATTTATTTTAATATAAAACAAATCTTGTTTTAACAAAATGTTTTTCACATGGACACAGGCAATTTATCATGATAAACTGATACGTTCTTAAAACAAGAAAAGTTTCTTGGTAAAACAGAGACGTGTCATCATCAAATATTATTGTAATAAAGTGAAAAGGATCTTGTTAAAACGAGAAACTCTTTTTGATAATGAGATAATTCGATAATTGTCATATTTCTCTGTAAAACAAAGATCAGTTGACCAAAAAGCTCAAATCAGTCACCTCAGTGACAGGAAAATGAGACCAGACCTGGACGGATGATGTCTGCAGCACATTTTACACATAAGTGTGTTTTCAGGTTTGGGGAGTATTACTGTATGTAATGGTAAATGAATCACAGCAGAACTGATCTAAGTGCCTGACCTCTATTGTGTGTAATACACCTCATGATACTGCCGTTAAATTGAGCTATGCCTACCCTGGCATTCTGTGCTTCCTGCACTTCCAGAATCCTTTGGGCTCGGGCGAAGTGATCCATCTTCTCGAAGGCCTTGATCTTCCCCAGGAAGGACCTCATTGAAGGATCCTCTACAGGGCTGTCCTCCACTGCCTCCTCCTGCTGCCTACAGGCCAACACGGTCGCACTTTGCAGAGCGACAGGTGAGTGAACTGCAGGCTCTGCTGTGCTCCCGCAGAGGCTAAGCTTGGGCGCAGGGGGGGGCTGGGGCACTCCCAGGGGCCGCAGTTTTCCGCAGGAGTTGAAGTGGAGAGCCAGAGGTGGAGGCAGCGGGCCGGAGGAGGCAGCTGAACGAGAGATGGGTGGTGGAGGGTCGTTGTTGCTGCTGGCGGGGCTGCTGCTGGAGGGAGAATCGTAACTTCGGCTGGAGCTGGGGGGTGGAGGGTGGTGTTGACGGTGGTGATGGTGTGGGTTGTTGGAGCCTGATATGAGGACCGGATCGTCCCTCAGAGACAGTTTCACCTGACCAAGGAGAGGAAGTGTTAGAGACAGAAGAGATACTTACAGTGCGTGGTAGTCACAGATCTCTAGTGTTTTGTAGAAAAAGCCCAACCTGACTTTTATGATAAACAAAACCATGTAACACAAACCATTTCTGTCTTTCAAACAGCTCCCACTATCAGCAAACAGTACTGGTGTCCAATTCTTCAACACTAAGCAGAAACTTTAATAACACAATGTCTGGTTTGTCAATCCACTTCAATTTTTTTGGTTTGTATGGTTTGTAATCCTTTATTTTTCTACAATCTTACTTATAATCTTTGGTTGTAATTGTTTTTCTCATTCACTTTGTCTTGTATCCTCATTTCTGCCAGACATTACTTGAGACACTTTGGTCCAAAGGGACTTAAAATGAGTGAATTCAAACACGTAGAAGCAAGAATCATCCAAAATTAGGAATTAGTGTATCTCTTTAAAACGACTAAAAGCATGTTCAGTGCTACAGTACAAGTGCTCAAAGAAACAAGACATAAGGAAGTGCGAGCATTGTAAAAAAAAAAAAAGGGCAGTGAGTCCTCTGAACTTCAGTGGGGAGCCAGAACAGAGGTGTCTGAGTGGGTTGAGAGGAAGGACGAATCATCCCGATGTTGTAAAGGAGGAACTGACGGGGTTGGGCTACTACTGCACTGTTTCCGAGAACAACAGTTTGTCTTCAGGTGAGGGGAGGTATCAAGTATTTTAAAGTCAAAAGGCTCAAGTCCAAGTGGAGTTGCATGTCTTTTTTGATTTTGTCAAGGTGAGTAACCAAACTTGAGACTTGAGTCCACACCTATGGATGGAACCATTCACTAAAATGTCTATATTTTCATATTCTAGTTAGACTAATATATCTAGTACTAATTGGGTATTAAGGCTAGTGGGTCTGTTTTAGAGGTAGCCTTGGTTCCAAAACGGACTGGTGAGACTGATCATTTAGGGTGAACATCAAAAGACCAAAAAACAAATATGTCAAACAACACTGTGGATCAGACTTTAAAGCTACACCCAAAACTGGCTATTAGGGGAGGAAAAACAGTTAAACTGTTTTCATTCCAACCAAACAACAGCTCCCTTAACTACTTTCACTGTACTCTGAACAGAGATGAAGACTAATCATCTAAATCAGTTGCTGTGATGTGTTGATGGAATGAAAACCAGTACACAGCTTAAGGTTGAACAAAACTAGTGCTATACACTAGCCCACCAGCATGTACCAGCAATTGAGGGGGATTCTGGGTACCCATGTGGTCCAGTGAGCTGCTGTTGGAGGAATCTGAACTGCAGTGAGATTGTTTTCTCCGTATCAGGCCGTTCCTCAGCAAGAAGGGCATATTGTTCCTTTGGATGGAGGGAAAGAGCTGCCAGGGTGGATGTGGAGGTTAGAGTGAGAGTTACTGTAGGCTGTCACACTTACTGTTTGCTGCTAAGAAATAATGTCATCTGTCATATATAACAAAGGTTTTTGATATATGGAGAGTTAAGGATGTTGGACTCTTACACACCTAAACTGGTGCTTCACCCGAAAAGCAGTCATAAGAAGCACAGTGCAGCAACCACATTACATTACATTTAAGTCCTAAACAAACACTTTATGTTCATATGCTGAACAACCTTTTTTGTATGTACACTTTTGATATCATTATAGAACTTAAAAAAAACTTTTATATTTAAAGCTGCATGCATTGTATTTTTTGGCCACTTGGGGTTAGGGTTAGCTATAGCTGTAACACAGACATCTAAGCTGAAACAGCAAATGTGTTTTCAAACACACAATATATACATATACATAGGCAGGAAAATAAACGATTTGGTTTGACATGACCTTAACGTGTTCCTCTAGATGTGCCACAGGAGCACTGCCAGCCTGAATGAGGCATAAGTGTTACCAGATAAATGGATTTCTCTTTCTCAGTGATTTTAATTGTAGTTCATTGTTCACTTTGATTGGTGAATGGATGGCACCCGACTCAGACATACACTTTGACACATTGTTACCCTGGCTAATGTAAGACCTATAATTATTTTCATTCTTCTGATAAATCTATGTATTGGTTATTATATACAATGGCAGAAAATAATTAAAGGTCTTCCAATGGTATCAAACAGAAAAAAGAAGATGGGGGGGATTTACATTTCAGTGTTTCCAGAGGTAGGTGGGTGATTACTGTACCCTGCTTCTGCCTTCATACCTCTACTGCAGAGATACTGTATACTGTATGTACTCCTCACCTTGTCTGATAAGAAGACAGGTGGAGGGCTGGACCTGTTGAGGACTTCCCGGCTGCTGATTTTCCTCATGCGACTCCTGATGTCTGGACTGTACCTGCGCAAAATCTACACACACACACACACCACACACAGCACAGTATACATCCATACAGTAGGAACAGGGTGGGTCAGTGGAAAGCCCCCCGCTTGACGAGGGTTGGTGTGGTTGCTTGTTCAGTTCCAAGATTTACTGTGGCCTTCATTCTTCACCTGTTAAGATTGACCTTGCAATGAGCTCGACTCTTGGTGCTTGAGCTTGCAGCAGTCTGACTGCGAAAGATATCAATGAAAGGTATTTATTTTTTTGGTGAATATTAAATTATATTTTCAAAGCTTCTAATAGTTTGTACTACAGCTATTATGTGTGTGTTTGTTTTATTTGTTCTGATATTGAATTTCTTGACAATGCAACGTTTTTGCCCCATGTTTGGCCTGCCAGCTGGAGGTATGGGCCTAAGAAGGAAAGGACTGGGTAGAGAGGTGGTCAATTTAATAAAGACAGATTTAGAAAGATATTTCCAAACGCATTTGTCCCAGGCCCTGTCATTGACAGTTAGAGCATTTCAGTTTTCAAAAAGCATTTAAAGACTCTTTGCGAAAATGTTGTCAAGTGGGCAGTGGCATTTTCAAGGACGCTTCCTCCAGACAATGCTTGGAAAAAGGAAAAACTTTCAGGCCCCTCTCTTGCTTCGGGCTCCCCAATTCCCTGTCTATGCGGATCATGATCATGATTGTTCCAACAGCCCAAATATTCGCTCTTTGACATACCCTCCAGACTACACTAAATACATAAAAAAAAGGTATGTCCTAAGGTTTTTATCAATTTCTGACTCTGGGAGAGTGAAGAATCTGAAGCATCTCTTTAACCGAATCACACACATTTAGGCTACTGTGATCTCCTTTTGATAGCTAATGAAATAACTAATGTGAAATCTTGTCACTGTCATTCACTGAGCCTACCATTAAACTGTTCGGAGTCTGCCTCATACAAACCTCTGGTCTGGACAGTATCTAGACTGGATGTCTGATTCTTTCCGTCCCCGTCATCATGTGTGTACATGGGGGTTGACAAAACATTAGCTTGCACAGGTACACCTTACCTGGTTACTCAGATGTCATCATGTGAACGTATGTTTGTTGTTAGTTTGGTTTGTTTATGATGGTTGTGTACAGAAGAACTTCACACACTGAGATAAGCCGGTTAACATCTCCTCTACACAGAAGTACATACTACACATTGTAGATGCAGACTTTAAAGATTGTCACCTAATTTTCTGGTAATCTATACAACACTGTACAGAAGCTACTGATAGTTGGATTTTCCTGTCTTGTCAGGCTTGGAGCTGTAATCCCCTGTCTGAACTACAGATGGCAGCACCATCCTGAGAGTGAAAGGAGGAAAACTTGGAGAGCTTAAGTGTATATCAGGCTGTGTGTTTATGAGAGTGTATGTCTGACATGTCCCACAATAAACACACATTATCATAAAGCACTAGCCAAGACAGTAAGAAGTGCTTGGGATAAAGATCAGATAAAATGCATGAAAAAGATACACAAAAGAAATTGAAAGAGATTAATATAAAAAGTGAGAACAGCTGCTCCAGGGTCTTGAGGCCTTCACAGCAAAAGCCCGCTGACCCAACAGCTTCAGAAGTGGCTTAGAACTGTTAACTAAAGACTAAAGAACTGTGTTTAAATCAGCACTCACCTTTAATCTCTAATCTTTGATGCAGTTATAGATTCAGACATAGTGAGAATGTCAAAATAAGCCTAAAAAGTGGATCACAACGCTGGAACACTGCTGCTAGAGTCCTCACTAAGACCAACAAAGCAGATCACATCAGTCCAATATGACTGTATTTACACTGATCTCCTTGTGTCTCCTCATTGATCTTAAAATATACAACTGTTGATTTATAAAGAAATGAATAGTTTAGGGGAACCTCTCGGGTGGTCTGGGAAAGGTTTGCATACTGTGCTCAGAGTCAAAGCTAAACACAGAGAGGAAGCGTTTAAATTCCCAAAGAAAACTCAAGGTCTGCTCCAACTCTGAGTTCTGTTTGCGCCTGCCTTTTATTAAAACCGAAGGAGGGTGGGTGGTAAAGAGAGAAGGGAGACTTACTGCATCTCATGTGACCATTTATAACATGTATAAAAAGTTTGGTTATATGAAAAACATTTGAAGCATATTTTCCTAAAAAACAATGAATGTATAGACTCATACATACATAGTCTTTCTATATCACTACTTATGTCCGTATCTGCAGAGACCCTGCAGCCCTCTGCCTGTCTTTTCTCATTTTGCTGTGTGGGACGTTTCTGGCCGTCAACCGTTGACAGCGCACAGGGGATGAGTTTGGCACTCCGTAGCGACCAGGTTACAGCGCTGTCTCTATTTATCTCTCTCCTCTGCTCCCTGTCTGTTTCATGCATGCATAGCAAGCTGCTGGTCTGTGTGTCAGTGTCTGTTTGACAGAGGGCTCACAGGATGAAGCTATACTTGCTGTAAAACTTTAGCCAGGACGTTTATTTGCTTAAATCACTGAACTCCAACTGCCTTTGTTGGGGACAGGCGTTTAATTCCTTTAGCACAAACTCTTTGCCCGCACAGATGGAAATACTCTCTAACTGTAGTGCTTCTCCTGAGTTCTGTTCAGCAAATTTGACAACAAACAGCTTTTTTCAGGTTGTACTCTTTTCCACTGTGCCGCCACCATGACACTTGAATATTTTTACGGCAGCCAGCATACAGACAGTGAGCAACGGACTTCACATGACAATATTCACAACTCTGATTAATTTTAATGAAAGTATTTTTTTGATCAGTGGACTAAAGGAATATAAATAATGGAGGAATGGACACAGACTGTATGGGACAGACTTTATGACTCAAAGGTTGGAAGTCAGTGATTTTTTTCCATCTCTCTTGTTTACCATGCTGGTAAATTACTTCCCACTACTGCCCAGCGGTCAATAAAATATATTAATGAACTGTCAATTAAACATTATCTCAGTAAAACAGCTTGTGATAAAAGACATTTTCATGGTCAGAGGTTGCTGCTGCTGTTGCACAGTAGTACAGTGAGCAGCATGGAGTTCACTCATTGAGTAAACTGATTTTATTACACACTAGCTGTATGGAAGTTTTTGTGTGTGTGTGTGTGTGTGTGACTCTGACCTCCTCAGCCGTGACAGGTTCAGATGAGCGGCTGATGGCGGAGATGTGCATCATCTCTGCATCGGGCTCGTTGTCGGTGTATGCCCCGGCCTCGTCTGCGGTGTCGTCCAGGTCGGACGTCAGTCGGCTGTCCATGCTGAGGTAGTCGGCGGACAGGAAGGACAGGCGCTCCACGTCCTGGCAGTCCAGTCCATCACTCTCTACTCCCTCCAGCTAGAAGAGACACATGGTGGATCTTGGGTGTACAGGCAGGAAGGATGGACAGACGGATAGCACAAGAACAAGAGAGAAGAAGGAAAGACAAACAGAGCCGAGCTGTAGAGCACTACTGGCAGGAAGTAGGAAAACATACAGTGAGCATGCTCAGAGCACGCGCACACACAAGTGGCTGCTATGAAGGTGTCAGGAAGATAGAAGGGAGGTTAGACCACTATAGACTACCAAACTACAGAGGAGCAAACTATAATACAGCGGCCAGTTTATTAGTTAGCTGAAACTAATGCAGTCTAATACAATAAATCCTCCTTCAATGACTGTTATAATGTTCAGTTTATGTTAAACTCTTGTGTATGATCATTTCAGAGGATGTAGTTTGCCGATATTATCGATATGATTGGACAAAATAGCAGAAACATTCCTATAATGTGAAAGATGCTCTACACATGGGGGTTACTCACTACGTAGGGGAAGCCTGTGAAATCCATGTGTGTGTATGTGTTGTGTGTGTGTGTGTGTTTACCTTGCCGTCAGAAACCCAGACAGCCTGCATCTGCTGCTCTCTGATGGAGTCTTTGACGCTGCCGTACCAGGCGTCGTTGGCTGAGTTCAGATCAATGGTGGCTGGACGAGAAAACCATCCAACCTCAGCATACAACATTCAAATCACAGCAAATATACATCTACTGCGGTACCACTGCGCATGACAGCAGACTGAATCGCTGCGTGTGTTTTTGACTGTACCAGTGAATAAGTGAGAGCAGGTCTTCCTCAGTTTGACGGCCTGTTCGTAGAGCTTGCGGGCGCTGCGGTTGGAGTTGGGGGCGATCCTCTGCCTCATGGCCTTGATGCCGTGCTTGCTGTCTGGGTTGAAGAAGATGACAATGGGGTACCACTGGGTGTAGTTCAGGGTGTCCACTGCCTTGGGCGTCACATCCAGCAGGGCGTGCTTGTCCTGTGTGGTGTGAGGAACAGGGACAAATGGCAAACATTGTTTTGAACTCTGCAATAGAAATGCTCCGCTAGGTAACCCTGTAATACATGTGAACCTCTTACTTGTATTGTCAAATGTGTTCTTTCTGTCCCTGCTATATTTATTTACATGACTCACCTTATCAA